GTGGTACTTGCGGAACCTGGAGGGGCCTGTCTTCTTTCAGGCCTGTGGGACTTGTGGGGCCTGCGAGACCTGAGGGATGTGTGGGGCATGTAGGGCCTGTGGAGCCTGTGGGGCATGCAGGACCTGTGGGATCTGTGGGACTTGTGGGACCTGTGAGACCCGTTAGAGCTCTGGGACCTGTTTGACCTGAGAGGCCTGTGGGAGATGTGGCACCTGCGGGACCTGCGCGGCCGTGACCGTCCGAAGGGGAAATGTAGCCAGCATTGAGGCGAGATCACGATTCCTGACTACAGTAAACTGCGAAGAAGCCTCGAGCGAAACGGCTACCGGACTGGGCGGTCTCGGGCCCCCTGTACCCCCTGGAGTAGCTGGTACTGAAGCGACAGCAAGATTCTGGAGTAAATCGTGAGGAAGTCTCAAGGGAACCGGCAACCAGACCAGGCGGCCTCGGGCTCCGGGTCCCCCCATGTGCTGTGCCTGAACTGTGGCGAGAACACGATTCCGAAATACACTGCCGGGAAACCTCAGGCGAAACGGCTGCCAGACCGGGCGGCCTCGGGGTGAGAGCGCGGCCGTGTGCACATCAGCGCACGATACACAGCAGGCGACCGTGGCCGTCCGGGCCGAGCATGTCGCCGGCCGGCACGAGGCGAGAGCATGGCTCCTGAATTGCAGGGGAGGCTCAAGCGAAACGGCTGCCGCACCGGCTGCCGGACCAAGCGTCCTCGGGCTCCCCGTCCCCACTGTGGGACTTGACCATCTCTACCAGAACCTTCCAGCGAAACGTTATTAAGGACGAATCGCGAAATACGAGCTCCCGATGTTTGAAATGTTCGGTCTCCGGGGGCCCTTGCGAATCCCAGGCACCGTCAAGAAACGACTCGGCGGGATGAAACGCCGGTGTCGGGGAAGGGTCGAGGGCTGGGGGTACACCTCATGAAAACATCATGACGTCGAGGTCCAAGACTGGCATAGCCTTAGCCTTGACCCAACTGCCTGCCTCACCCCCCTAGATGATTCCCTAGATGGGGATGTTCGGTTCCCTTCGGGTTGGGCAGAGCCTGTCCCCACCGGGGGGTTGGGCTGGTGGAGCGAAGATGCCACGGCCCAGCCCAGGCATGCGCTGTCCTGATCTGTTCAATACGCGGTCCCCCGAAATCCCGACCATTTCCCTGGGGCCGATTTTTCACCCCGAGACGTTCTCGGACTGTCCCAAGGCCCAGCGAGGGCAGATGCCGAAACTGCCCAGAACCTCGCGCCGTGATCTGATCTCTTGGAGCGGTGATGGGAGTGGGGATGGGGGATGGGGGATGGGGGATGGGAGCGCCGGCCTGCCACGCCTGGGAGTGGGGACGGGGATCGGTTGTGGACGACGCCGAGGGCCCGCGGCGGCGTCGCGCGCGGCGAGGTGCTCCGCGAGCCGGGCCTCCGCCTGCTCCAACAGCCGCGCGCTGCGCTGCGCCGCCTGCCGCTGCACCTGAGCGACGAAGCGGAGCGGGCCTTGCGCGAGATGGCACGGCGGCCTCACGCGGCGGCCTACAGCCATCGAAGGAACGCCGAGTCAGGAACGAAGGGGCCCTTCTGGCCACGGCTGGCCTCGGCCACGAAGATGCTCCCCGACCCAGATCGAGGGACCGGCCCGAGCACCCGAGCCCCCTCCTGCGCCCCCAGCGGTCCTCTTTTGGCGTGTTGCCTGCACACGCGGGCCGCCAGCGCGGCACGCCACGTTGGAAATGAGGGCGCTCACGCGCGACCGCACGCGGGCATCTTGCGCGCCCATGCCGGCGAAGACGAGTCCAGTCTTCCGCGTCGCTCACCTGGGCGCGGAGGCTGTGCAGCTCCAGCTCGAGACGAGTGATCTTGCTGGCCTCGTCCTCACGGGAGGTCTCCCAGACCCAGACCCTTGCGTCGTGGAAAGCATGCCGACGCGCGGTGTTTTGCAACTTTCGGCACCCGGGGGCCCTTGCTGGGCCCCAGGAGTGCACAACAGCGACTCAGGATGAACAGCCGCTCCAGGGAATGGGTCCAGACCTCTGGGTGTCCACGTCATGACAAAAACCATGGCGCCCCGGGGGTCTGGGTACGGGGTCCGAGTAGGCGGGGTCGGTGGATCGCCGTTGCCGATGCATCGGCGATGCATCGGCGACCTCGGCGATGCATCGGCGATGCATCGGCGTGGAGAACATCGGCATCACCGATGCATCGGAGTCATCGGGCCTCGGCGATGCGGCGCGATCCTCTGCTGGCCCCATCTGCTCGGACCCCCCTTGGAGGGGCCCGGAGTCCTCGCACAGGTTCACCTTCGCCTCTTCGGAGGGGGGGCCCGTCGAGACGCGGCCCTCCCCCTCGCGGGTTCTCCCTCTCTGGGCCTCCCGACGCTGCCGCGGCCAAACCCGCCTCGGAAAACGGGCTGGGATGGGCCCTGGGAAGGCTCCGGGCCGCACCAGGCCGGGCAGGAGTGCCGCCGTCGTCTCGGCCGGCCCTCCTCCGAGCCTTGTTCTGGACCCGCTTCGCGCGGCTCGCGAACTCCAGCGTGCTCCTGCTCTCCGCGTAGTTGGCGGCCGCGGGCGACACGGCGCAGACGACGACGGTGTTGGAGTTCCCCCCGATGGACGCCTCGAGGATTTTTTCTCACACGAGGACGCGCCTCGGCTGCTTAAAATCCTTGGCCCAGGCCAGCAGTAGAGAGCGACTGGCCGCGCGAAGAGGAAAGAGGAGGAAGGGGGAAAGCAGAGGAGACAGGGGGAAGCATCGGCGGTGGACAAACCTCCCTTTAGTAAACCTCCCTCCGGTGACAACGGCTCAGGACCGAAACCGACGGACCTGGACCCGCAAAAACGAAGGCCGCGACGGCCTCTCGCAAACCGAAAAACGGCCACTTCGCTCATCGATATCGGCGCGTCAGGGTAATTAGGAGGTCTATCCGCCCCCCCGCAGGCAAGGAGGGACGCCTCGAGGATGCGGGTGAGCTTGGACTCCCGGAAGCTGACGCGCCGCCTCGCCGTCGAGCCGGGGTCGTCCGAGAGCGCCCGGATGGCGCGCGACAGGGACGGGGCAGAGGCGCAGAGGGCGGCGGGAGCACACGCCTCCGGAGGCCCCCCCATGGGCTGCGCGCGGGGGGTCCGCGCGCGGGGTCCGCGCGCGGGGCGCCGACCCGAGGCGCACGGCGAGGGCAGTGGGTAATTAAGGAGCCATGGGATGAGGGATCCAGGGTCTAGGGCGACGAAATCTATACATATCCACTGCTCCCTGGCCAGGCACACCGTGAACCCAGCAGCAGTGTATACGCCACACCCTCCTGGCTGGGCCAGGAGGTCGTATACACACCTCCTGGGTTCAGAGTGGGCCTGGCCAGGGAGCAGTGGATATGTATAGATTTCGTCGCCCGAGGGTCTGGAAGCTGGCGGGACACCGCTCGCGGATCGGACACGGACACCACCGTCGACCGTCGACCTCATCAGATAACTAGGGAGTCCTCCAGGGTCTGGAGCCTCCTGGGCACATTCCTTGACCGACGCCCCCACCGCACACCAAATCCCTGATTAATCGTCCGCCAGGTCCGTTTTTTGTTCGGGCTCATTTTTTGTGACTGGGGGAGTCCGGTCTGTTAGGGCGCTTTCTTTGTATTGGAGCGGAGTGGGTTCGGTTTACTAAGGCGCCCCGTCGAAGAGGGGGGTCCGGAACATTAGGTCGCATTTGGAGAGGGGTCCGGTTTTGTAGGAAGGGATCGATTAATAAGGGAAGTGGTGTACGCGCTGGCCTCTCCGAAAGCGTGTGCTGATGCCGCCTTCTGCTCCCCGAAATAGAAGAGACCTCTGGCGTGAGGCAAACAAGGAGGAGGAGGAGGAGGAGGAGGAGGAGGAGGAGGAGGAGGAGGAGGGGGAGGAGGGGGAGGGGGAGGAGGGGGAGGGGGAGCAGGAGGAGGAGGAGGAGGAGGAGGAGGAGGAGGAGGAGGAGGAGGAGTCCTGGCGGAAACGGGCCGTGGGCCCCACGGGGCCTTCCCCGGGACAGCGTCATCGTCGTGAGCCGTCGTGTGCACGGTCCTGAGGCCAGGGGAGGGCTCCGAGGGCCCCGAGACAACGAGACAAACCAGGGCCCGTGTCCCTCGAGACCCGTTCCCCGACATCCGCTGATCGGATTTTTCAGCCCGCGGCCCCAGGAGGTCCCGACCGCGCGTGTTCTCCCAAGCCGGAATCTGGGAAAAGCGCCATACAAATCGAGGAATTCGAGGATGTCGAGGAAATCGAGGGTTGAACAAATTGTAGCGTCGTAGATCTGGGCTTGCTTTGCGGCGAGGACCTGTTGATGTTGCTGCCCTCCCGCCGCCGCTCGCCGGTGGACTCGGTGTGCCTGAGACCCTCGGACCCAGCGAGGTCCACGAGGTTCAGCTGCGACCGCCGCACGCCCTGCTCAGCGGCGTTGGCCGCCTCCAGGCCGATGCGCAGGATGGCGGACCAGCCACAGCCGGGGGAGCTGCGCTCCCAGACCTCCGACGATGTGTGATTCTTGCTTCGATCCTGGCGTGCTGCCCCCGTTTCGGCCACGGGGGCCGTCACCGGGCCCAACAGAAATTCATCGGCGATGACGACCTGGCCCCCGAGAGGGGGCCGGGGGCTTCTGGGGGCCGCGTCTTGGACACATCGAGACGTCGGATGTCTGGGTTCCTCACGGCACCCCTGTGCTGGCGGGCCTGACCTGCCCTCTGCACTCACAGCGTCCACTACGCGAGCCTGCCTCCGGCACAGCCCGACCTTCTTCACGCTCTGAAGGTGCTCTGGCCGTCCCGCGGCTCTTTCCCCCCCCCTTTCTCCTGCCTTCTCCTCCTGTCTCCTCCTCCTGCCTCCTCCTCCTACTTCTTCCATCCTCCTCCTCCTCCTCCGCCTCCTCCTCCTCCGCCTCCTCCTCCTCCGCCTCCTCCGCATTCCCCCTTTCCTCCTGCCTTCTCTTGCAATTGTGCCCAAGCCGCTTCGGGCGCGCCCCGCCGCTGGCTCCACCGCCTGGTGGGCCCGGCTCGCCGCGGGCTCCGGAAGTCCAGGGGTGCCAAAGCTGATTGGGTATCGCTTGACCGATCCCCAGCCCCCAGCGCTGTGTTGCCCCCATATCGTACTGAAGGACCACACCCCAGAAACTACTTTCGAGCACCTGGAAGAAAAGTGCCGAAAGAGTGTCGAAGCAGTGTCGAAACAGTGTCGGACGAGTGTCCCCCAGGGCCCGACACGTGAAAACCCTCCAATTTCGGTACTGACCTGGTGCTCGAAATTCCTTCTGGTGATCAGGGCTAAAGTAGGTTGGAACCTCATAACACCAGTGGCGCGGCCTGGGCCCCACTGGCCGATTCACCCCCCCCTATGGATGGGGATGTAGGCCGTTCCCTTGGGGGCTCGAGGGGTGCATCCCCAACTGGGGTGGCAATGTGGTGGGGGTCTCGATGGGGATGTGGGGATGGGGCTGGGGGTCGGCTAAACGATACCGACCGATGGGCCCCCCAGGCACACGGGGGTCCGGCCCGCCGCTCCCCGGGCCGAGGCTCGTCGGCATGGAGTGGGACCTCGAGGAGCGGGCGTTCATGCGCGTCTCGGCGCTGTGCCGCCTGGGCGAGGACTGCCCTGGAAAAGGAGCGCAGCTTCGGTCGTCGACCTCTCCGTGCCTTCGTCGCGTTCGTAGAGGCCTCCCAGGTGGGGTCCGAGTAGACTAGGGAGCCCACAGAGGACGCACGCGCCATGCGAAATCTCGAAAACGGTGTGGATTCGTGTGCGTGTACGTCCTTCTTTCGATCCTGGTAGATAGGGGTCGCAGGGTCGCGCCGCATCGCCAATGTATCGGCGATGCATCGGCGACGTCGGCGATGCATCGGCGTCGTCGACGTGAAGCAAATCGAGCTCCACATCGAGCCGCACCGGCGATGTCTCGGCGATGCGGCGCCATCGTCCGACCCCATCTGCTCCGACCCCGTCTAGGAGGCCTACATCGACGCCAGGGCTGAACCTAAACGGTGTTTTTCGTTCTCGTTGTGTTATCGTTTTCCCTCGTTTTGTCTCCAATCCGACTTGACCGCAAAACGAGATCGAAACGCAAACGGCCCACGAAATCGCCAAAACACCGTTAGGTCCAGCCCTGATCGACGCCCTCTCGCGAACCGAAAACGGCCAATTCGCTAACCGACTGTCGACCTCCGAGCATTCGGTCTTCCGTCGTTGTCGTGGCCCGAGGCCCCAGACCGGCGGAAACGGACCCCGGGAGGAAGACTGTACACCACCCGGAGAGGGTCCCTCGGCCGATGATTTGCGACAGGGCCTGCACAGGTTGCACTGCTTTTCCAGGCGCGTGCAGGACGAGAAGGACATCGTCGAACTCTTCCACGTCTGAGCGTCCCTTCTCACTCTCGGCCGCCCCCCCCCCCATCTGCGCCCGCTGGCCAATTCGCTACAGTTGGTGCCCCTTTCTAGCTCCTCGGTGGGGCGGAGTTCGCCGCCTCGCCGCTGACGAACAAAGCAGGACGAGAAGGATCTAACCGGCTGGCCCCGACTGGAGCCCGACGAGGTTCTGGAAACCAGAGGGAGAGGAGGAGGAGGAGGAGGAGGAGGAGGAGGAGGAGGAGGAGGAGGAGGAGGAGGAGGAGGAGGAGGAGGAGCAGCAGGACGAGAAGGGTGTCAGAATACGATCGGCTCCGGAGACGGTCTGGGAGTCGCGTGGGGGTTGCTGGCGGCCCTCGGCCAGCCGTGCCCATCCAATCTGGCCATTCGTCTCGGGAGGCGCGGGGCAGCACGAAGAACACCTGACAGCCCTGGCACGCATCGTTATCATGACTTCTCGCCCCTCCGATGGACGCAGAACAGCTGGGCATCGAATCCTGAAACCTGGACGGGGCGGAATGTGCCTTGAGGATCGGGCCACACCGGACCGCGGGGCCAATCTGGCCACTCGTCTCGGGAGGCGCGGGGCAGCAAGAAAACCTGGAAGCCCTGGAACGCATCATTATCATGACTTCTCGCCCCTCCGATACAAGGCGCAAGCGCTGGGGCCGCCCGAGACAACAATGGGCGACGTCAGTTTACAAGCTGCTATAATATGCCCTCCTCCCTCCTTCCTCCTTCTCCTTCCTCTTGTACTTGAGCAGTGGTACACTCCGCTGTAGCTTGTTTCGCGTCAGTCAATCAGTCGCCCCTCCGATGTGCGCAGAACAACTGGGCATCGAATCGGGAAACCTAGACGGGGTGAGGAGGAGGAGGAGGATGAGGAGGAAGAGGAGGAGGAGGACCAGGAGGAGGAGGAGGATGGGGGAAGTAGGAGGAGGAGGAGGAGGAGGAGGAGGAGGAGAACGGGGCGCAACGTGCCTCGAGGACCGGGCCACACAGGACCCGTGGGGGGCCGAGAAATCGGCTCGGGGCGGCCACTCCAGTGTGCACCGCCGCGCCAGGCGAGCCTCGGGCTGCACTGAAGCGCGGGGGTGTCGCTACCGACTCGGGTTGGGCCAGGCGGAATCGATATCGAATCTGATCTAGACGAGCGCGTTCCACTACTCGCAAAGTAGCTACTCGCAAATGGCCCGGATCCGCCGCGGGGGGTCTACGATAGATTACATCGAGGCAGACATGTGTTTTTTCGGGCGTTTGCGAGTAGGCACTTTGCCAGTAGTGGAACGCGCTCGGTAATGATCGACCCGATCAGAATGAGCCCTGGCCTGGACCGCCCATGGACCTTCTGGTCGTATGTCGGACATCCGGCGGCTTTTAAGGACGAAAGGACGCTCTCGGCGAGCGCAGCTGTCGGAACTTCCCCCGTGGCAGGAAGGTCTCCAGGAACCAACAAAGACGTCCGAACACTCTGCTGGAATCGGCACCAACAGAGCGGCAAGCGGGAGGTCTCCACCGAGGGAAGATGATCCTAGATGTTGGCGCTGGTGAACAGATTCCGGCCAGCCAAACTTTCTCAAACTCGACTATTGCCAACAGCACCGAGATCAGGATCATCCTTTTTCGGTGGAAGCATCTGGCCGATATCGGTTCTGGTGCCACTCTCTGGACGGTAAGACACTCTCGGCGAAGCGCGGCTGCCGGGACGCATCCTGTGGCAGGAAGACCACCAGGATGCGACGAACACGTCCAACAACTCTGCTGGAATCGACGTCGAACCGCCTCGATGGGTCAGCAATCCCAGATCTGTGACGCACGGGTCGAGGGCCCCTGGAGCCTGGAACCAGGGAACACAAATGTCCGTCGTGCTTGTGAGCGTTTTTTGACTCGGCATTTCGACATTGGGCGGAAAGGGGGGGGGGTCTGGCTCCGGACCTCTGCTTAGTGCGACTGTTTGCAGCACTGGTTCCTACGAGCGGGGACTCCACCCGCTCGAAACAGGCGCTCAAAACAGCCAAGATCTGCTCCATAGGAGGGGGGAGAGGGGGGGTGCGAGAGCCTGCGCCGATCGGCAAAACAATGAATAAAAAACGCTCACCTTTTGTTGGCAACGCGACCATGTCTGGGAGGAGCGGGCCCCGGCCTGGACGTGCCCACGGCGAGGTGGCGGAGCAGCTCCGCGGGGGAGGCGACCGCGTGCGTCTGCAGGCCGCCCAGCAGCAGGCTGCCGCTGGGATCCACCTGCAGCCGCACCTCCCGGGAACCGTCGGGCGCGAGGAGGTCCGACACCTTTTCGTTATATAGCCGCCGACCCCTCTGGGGTACTCGGCGCGCGAGGTGCTCCCAGAGGCCTCCAACGTCTGCTTCGAGCGATGCGACAACGTGAGGCGGGATCCCCAGGGGACGCCGGCACCGTCTGGGCCTGGCGGCCGCGGCAGGCAGTCGCCTTTCGTCGAAGACACCAGGGATGTTCAGGGAGCTTGGCAATGCGCGTCGAGGCAGAAAGGAACCAAGACCAGGGAACCAAGGAACCAAGACCAAATAACCAAGGTACCAACACAATGGAACCAGGGAGCCACGACGAAGGAAACATGAACCCAGGCAAGGCCTTGTAAGGAAACAGGGCCGCGGAACCCCGGGGAACGCCCTTGCACGGAAACAAAACCAAGGAACCTGAGCAAGGCCGTGTGAGGAAACGAGACCAGGGAACTCCAAAGAACCCGAGCAACCTCGAGGCACCCGGCGCGACCTGGGCTGGCACCCACAGCCTTCTTCACAAACGGATGAGACCCGCGAGGCAAAACCCAATTGGGGAAACACTGCTCAGGATGGCTCGTCGTGCGAGATGTACGACGAAGGCAGGACGATGACTAGTTCGGATGCGGATAACTCGGGGATCTCTGAGACCTCTCGGGCCTCGAAGATGTATCGGGCGCCGCGGCTGTGCCAGAGCGCTCCAGAACGCTCTAGAGCGATTCACCTTCATCCTAGGCCTGCCTGATTGGGGTACACAGCGCGTGAGATGCTCTCCCTTACTCCGTCCCGCTCCCCCGGACCTCTGGTGTGTGTGTGTGCAAAACCGCAGCAAGGAGAGCAAAGCCAAAAGGCAAAATCGGTCAACAGCGCATCGGGAAAACGGATCGATCCGAAATGTGTGTCGGACCAGGCTGCAACGGCACGGAGTCGAAATCGAATCGGATCGGCCGCAATGCAGGCATCGGGCTACGTCGGATCCTCACAACACAACATCGAATCGGATCGGGCCGGCTGGAATCCATATCGGATCCGATCGATTGGATCGAGGTGGACCCTGACGGGGCAAAGCAAAGCAAAGAAGCCGTGCATCCATGAAGGACGCGTGGGCAGAAGTAGCAACTAAAAAGTTGCCGCGGCCGCAGCGGGCGCCTCTGGGCGGGAGGTGGAGGAGGCAAAATGCTTCAGATGCTCAGATGATCGAGAGAAGGAGGGTGAGCCAAAAGGCGGTATGTGGCTCCGCGACAGTGGGGTTCGACTGTCTTCGCCGCGGACCCAAACTGTCACGCAGCCATCGGACCCCCCTTGCTCGGGCCCCTTGCTGGCCGTGCGTTGGCAGCCTCCGCAGCAGAGCACTTCTCCATGGCTGCACTCTCCCCTGTCGACGGCGAGGACTGGTTGAAAACAGCCCTTCGTCAATCGGAAGGTGGAGTCGGCTGTTTGACTGTCGGCCCGACTGTCAGGCAGCTTACCTGGATCTCGGGGGACGGGAGAAGTGGGCCACTTGCAGATGGGAACCGCTGACATCGGGATCCTCATCATCCTCGCCTTCGTCCCCGTCACCGTTCAGATCCTCCTCCCCATGCTCGTCCACACCCTCGTCGTCGCCAACTCCTCGCAGATGCCTCCTTCCCCCTCTGCTCCTCCTTCGCACTTACCCCATCCCCTCCTTCTCATCTCTCCTCAGTCGCCCGCTTCTCCCTCGCCCTGCCTTCCACTGGACGCACCTGATATCCTCGTCCTCCGCCCTCCGTGTCCACCCACCCAGCCATCGTCCACATTCCGCCCTCCCTCGTCACATCCCCCTCCCTCCTCGTATCACCATCCTCCTTCCTTCGTTGGCCCATCCTCACTCCTATCTCCCTCCTTCATTCCCTATCTCCCTTTCCTCATCATCTCCGTCCCTCGTCTTTCCTCCACCCCCTGGCCCGACCCTCCTTCATCCTGCTCTTCATGATCCTCCCTCCTCTGAACGGTCAAAAGGGGAGGAGGGAGCGAAAGCAGAGTGACAGAGGAGCGAGGAAAGGATGAGAACAAGGGTCTGGATGATGATGCTGAGGTTGAGATGGACGAGGATCAGGACCAGCGAGGACGTGGGTGAGAACGAGGACGAGCATATGACTGAACGCGGCGGGTAAACCTCTAGTCCTACAAACATGCGTGCACGTGTATATCTTTAGTATGGCCTATGGACATGCTGCACTTGATCGCGCCCCCTATGGAGGCCGATCATATGGTATGCCTGGCTGCCGCAGGCCAATTATCCAAGTGGCCTCAAGATTGTTCCAAAATGGCTCCAAATAATGGCTTCCAAGGGTAGCCTTCGGGTTGCGTCCAAGGAGCTTCCCAGACGGCCCCGAGACGGCTCGAGGTGGCCCGGAGGCTTCCCAAAACTGGCCCAAGAAACTAAGATCGTCAGCACCCTGTGGTGTCTGGTACCTGTGGCCTCTCAGGGAAGCCTGCATAAAATGACGTCGGGAGCGCGCAAGAGGGCCCATGACGACCCAAGACTCCACACGGCCCATGCTACAAGAGGCCGCTAAGACGGCCCAAGACGGCCTCCAGAGAGCTTGAAGACGGCCCAGGAAGGCGCCTCGGCGGCACCAGAGAGACACTCAAACAGATTCGAAGGCGCGCCAAGACGGCCGAAGAGTGCCAAAGAGCCCCCCAAGAATGAACCCCAAAGAGTCCCCAGGAGGCCCCCAGGAGGGACAAACCGGTCTCCTTTTGAACATGTTGTTGGCTTTCCAACCTGGTTGCAGAGCACCAGGAAGCTTCTGCGACAACGCAATCCAGAAGAGAGACGTCCAGGAGTCCCAAGAGGCCAGCGGTGTGGCGCAAAGCCAGTGGATCTCCATGAAGGAGACGGACGCAGAGTAGCGACACTCGTGATGTCTGGCCTCGACCACCTTGAAGATCTCAGCCACGGCCGCTGGGATGATGCCCGAGCATAGGCCATCTCCCAGCATCGTGTGGGTCTTCCCGGAGGCGGTCTGGCCGTACGCGAACACCGTACAGTTGACACCCTCGCAAAAGGAGCGGACCTGGAGAACCCAAAAGGTACCAATGAAGAGATTCCCCGGACCTCTGCTGGGAAGCTCTCTGAACAAAATTTCGATGAGAATCCAGCCGTGGCAAATGGGGGCCTCCCAGACGAGCAGTGGTATCAGTACCTGTTCCTCCTCTGGTGACCACGTCCCGCACGCACACGTCGAAGATCTCGGAGGTCTCGTGCTCGGGGCCGAAAACGTGGTCGAACGTCCACTGGTCGCCCCCCTGATTGTCGCGGAGACAGCCCCTGTCGGGGCCGCTGCCGACCGTCCACAGCGCCGAGCCGCCCCCGACCTCGCAGGAGAAAGAGATCCGCATATAGACATCAGCTCTTGTGTCGGGCATGTCCTCCTACAGGCGATTTTTCTCATAAGTATTATAATAATAGCCAAAACGCACGATTTTGGGAGTGTGTTGAGAACATGGCATGGAACATCGCCACAAAGCTACTTCTCGACTATTTTTCAAGATTCCTCCTGCAGGGGGGCATGCCCGACTGAGCTCAACTCTCGAAGGCCCGCGCGGGCTTCGCGGGACGGCGCCAGACACCCCCCTGGTCCTGGCGCGCGGCGCGCGGCGCCGGGAGCTGCGCCGCAGCCGACGCCGGGGGCTATAGGAGGCAACTCCTGGGCTTCGTTGCCCTGGTACGCAACACGCAACACGCAGCGTGAGCTCAACGCGTAGACTGAACACGTACATTTTGAACAAGGGCGTTTTGAACACGGCACGCGTTACGTTTTAAAGCGTGCGTATGAGGGCAGCTAAGCTTTTGGGAGGCCTTCGTAAGGACGGTTACCCCGAATACCGTACTAATCGACCCCTTACAAAACTGGACCCCCTTCCAAATAAACGCGACCCCAATATTCCGGACCCCCCTCTTCGACGCGGCGCCTCAATGACCCGGACCCCCTAAGCTCCAATCCAAAGAAAGCGCCCTGATAAACCGGACCCCCCCAGTTACAAAGAAGGCGCGGACCCAGGGGACGATTGATAAGGGATCTGGAGTACATGGCTATGGATATACAGTTTGGCCCCCCGAGGGCCCGATCAGATCTACGTCCAACGCCTGCCGGAGCCCCCGAAGATCTATCCCCGGGGGAAGATGGCGGATTACACCGGGGACAAAAACCCAATCAGTGGATGGTTTGAAATGGAGCCTTTGTTTTTGACCTCCACAGGCCCACCGCATAGTGAAAGCAACTGGCAGTGCGGGGCCTGCCAGCTCTGAATGCGACTTAGACAGGCTGACCTACAAGCGAGGTTAGTCCGAGTCGCCTGAAAGGTCGGCTCCAGCGAGCGGGGCAAGGAGGGGGGCCCGCGTGACCTCGTCCTCCTGTGTCTCAAGAACCCGACGCACTTGCCTCAAAACATTTCGAGGAGATGGGGCAGGCATCGCTTCTCGAGCTGCATCGCTGGGCGGACCGAAGAGGGAGAGAGCGGCCTCCTCTTTCTCAAAGCCACGAAAAGGAGCCTCCCGCACCTCTCGTAGCTGCTGCCTCTCGCCTGGCCGAGTCTCTGAGGTCGTACACACCCCCTTCCCTTTAACCGCAGGGGGCCTGACTGCAGCGGGCGCCAGGTGGGGCGGGGGCGGGGAGAAATGGCCTGAGGCAGCTGGCGCTGACACAACAGCTGGCTGGGACGGTGGCAGACGACAACGTCGACGACGGGTCAACGACTCGATCGTGCTGCTGGCCAGCGGAGGAAGAGGAGCACTCCTGAACGTGGGCATCGCCACGGCTGGAGGGCTCAGGCCCATCCTCAAAAACAACAAGTTCGAACCAGGCCATACAATTGTCCAAGTCGAGAGTAACATTGTGCTTCTGCTTGGAATAATGTGGATGAGTGCCCTTTCTCAAGCGCTCGCCACCCATGTCTAGCGGCGCGGGTAGGTGGCTGGCAGCGCCCCCCAAGGCCTTGGACCGAGGCGCCCGAGGAGTGGCACTTGCAGCGCAGGCGCATTAACAGGACCGAACCGTCCGAGCAATTGAACGCTACCGTTCGGAGGCTAGGCTCTTGCTGCCTCGCAGCATGGAGCTTGGAGGAACTGACGCAGGAACCAAGCGGAGGGCAAGTCTCTGCTTTCCTCCGCCCCTGAAGACAAACGGCACACCTCAAAATGCCACTCCATCTCTCCCACCTATGGGGCACGGGGGGGGGCTCAGCAGCGAGGAAGGGCGCCCAGGTGGGGTGCATGGCACATCTTGGGACAACTGTGGCCAGAGCGGAGGCAAATTGGCAGCAGGCATGCAGCGAGCTGTGGCGGCATCGACAAGCTTCGTGACATCTTCCATACCACAAGGGGCTGACACGTGAAGCTGAAGGCCGCGCTTAGCTCCGACGTCGGCGTCCGAGTTGCCCTTGCGAAGAAACCGTTTACGAACTGAAAGGACTTCCTCATCGAGGCTGAGGTGTGCCTTTGCTTCCACGATGATATCTAAACGCTGGCCCTGGTGAGCACTGGCTTGCATAACCATTCCAGAATAGGCTCGCTTCCCTGAGTATCTATCAGACAGAGGGAGGCAACTCTGGTGGACCACATTAGCGCAGTCTGCATACAGGATAGACGGAGAGGAAGCCAAATAAAGAAAACATGAAACAATGAAAAAAAAGAAACAAGTCTGCGGGAAGTGAGCCCAGGCAAGACCCCTGACCTCTCCAAGGCACTCCCCGTCATCCGAATCCATTGAGATAGCCCATGCCGCGCGCGATCACTCACGAATGGGATGGCGCTGGCAGGGCCCATCGACGAAGAGGTGCCCCCACACCTCTCCGTTGGCGAGGGCCCTGGGGCCCTCTGGGTTCATGAGCTCAGCGCGGTGCCACGCGCGCACCAGGGAGATGGCCCCTTCGAGCGCTGGCCCGGGCAGCAAGTCGGCGGGGTGAACGAAAGCTCCTCTAGTATACAGGCAAATGTCTTCGCTGGAGGCCTCAGCTGTCAAAGCAGCAAGAGCAGCAGCAACGGCAACAGAGGCGGGGGCCACGTGTGCCCTTAATCCAGCAACTTCGTCATCGGGGCATCCCCGCAACCCGTGGGCGACGGGGTCGGGGGCCTGGCACATCGGGCACAGCGGGTCGACTTCATATCCCGCGCTGATCGCGCGACTGGCCGTCCAAATGGCGCAACTGGTACAGGCGCGGAACCAACCGCGCTGGGCAGGGATGAATTTCTTGGGGCTGCAGGCGGCTTTAGGGATGTCCAGACAGAGACGTTTCCCGACACCCCATTGACCTCCCAAGTCCCGCCCCAAACTCCTCACGCAAGCATCCCGGCGAAACGTTTCTAACATTTTTTGGGGGGGTTAAAGCCTAACGAGAGCTCGTCGCCCCTGTCGTCAACAACCGTCGTGGAGTTGGCCACCCTCCAACCCAGGCGCAGCAGAGAGAGGCGCATCGCAGAAAAGGGGCCCCTTCAACGTGGGCCGCGCGGCCCTCTCAAGGCCGAAAACGCTGTGCCACGCAGAGCGAAGATCTTCAAAAAAGAGGGGCCCGTCGAAATCTCTCGCGCGCGTAATCCAGATCTGTTTGCTCCATCTTAAGATAGGTGCGCCGGCAGCTCTCCAGCGCGGGCCGCCCGAGAGAATGCTGACAGCAGTAAGAGATCTGCTCTTGGCAGAGGGCCTGACCGTTGAGAAAGCTCGACGTCTCACCAACAGTAGCTGCTGGTCGCTGACACCAAGGATGTCCGCGCCACGCGCTCCTCCAGCGAGGGGCCCGGCAGCGAACGTCGCGAGGGCAGAACGGCCAGCGGGCTCAGACTGTTTCCTGATACGGCGAGCCTTCCGACAAACGAGGCCCGCCCTGGCTTTCATCTTGGAGTTCCTGCCGGAGACTTCGGCTGAGCGGCCAGCGCAAAAATCAACTCCAAGATTCGCAGTGGAACCCAGCACTCGGCCCCCGAGCTGGCCAAGGGCACTGGGCATGTCACCTGCCAGCTTTTCGCTGGACGCCACCGCGCAGATCCTGTCAAGAGACAGCTGACAACCCATGTCCGTGGTGATGGCACGATGCAAAAGAATAGAAGTCGACACGATGGTGTTGACGACTTGTTGGTGACGACCAATGCTCGACACTCCCGTGTCGTCGATGTACGCATCGAATTCGAGCAGCCTATGCCGAGGGGGCCGATCGAACGCACCCATGGAAGTTATCATGGCGAAGGACCCAACCATATGAAGTTGTGGGTACCGCAATTACTGTGAATATCTTCCTCGGCGAAGCTCCCCATGGGGCCACGAAGCGCTGCGCTGGGCGGGGGGGGGGGGGCGCACGCGGGGGCCGTAGCACTGGGGCCGTCGGCGAAGCTCCCTAAGAGGCCACGAAACGCTGCACTGGGCGGGTGAAAATGCCAAATTAGGCGTATGGGACGCACGCGGGCGGTCACATTGGGGGCTTCGGTGGAGCTCCCCATGGGGCCGCGACGCGTTGTAAAGGGTGAATGAACATGCCAAGTTGGGCGTGGGGGACGCATGCGGGCGGCCCCACTGGGGACTTCGGTGGGGCCCCCTATGGGGCCACGAAGCGCTACGCTGGGTCTGTGAAAAATGCCAAACTGGGCGTGGGGGGCGCATGCGGGCGGCCCCACTGGAGGCTTCGGTGGAGCTCCCTGTGGGGGACGTGCTCCGGTGGGGCTCCCTAGGGGGCCACGAAGCGTTGTGCTGGGTATGTGAAAATGCCAAATTGGATGTGGCGGACGCATGTGGGCGGTTCCACTGGGGGCTTCGGTGGAGCTCCCTATGAGGTTACGAAGCGCTGTACTGTGTGTGTGTGTGTGTGTGTGTGTGTGTGTGTGTGTGTGTGTGTGTGTGTGTGTGTGTGTGTGTGTGTGTGTGTGTGTGTGTGTGTGTGTGTGTGTGTGTGTGTGTGTGTGTGTGTGTGTGTGTGAAAATGCCAAATTGAGCGTGGGGGACGCATGCGGACGGTCCCACTGGGGGCTTCGGCGGAGCTCCCTATGGGGCCACGACGCGCTGTAATGTGTGTATTTGTGTGTATTTGTTTGTATTTGTGTGTGTGAGAGAGAGAGAGAATGCCAAATTGAGCGTAGGGGGCGCATGCGGGCGGTCCCACTGGGGGCTTCGGTGGAACCTCCTATGGGGCCACGAAACGCTGTACTGGGTGGGTGACAATTCCAAATTGTGTGTGGAAGACGCGTGCGGGTGGCCCCGCCGGGGGCGTCGGTGGAGCTCCCTATGGAGCCACGAAGCGCTATACTGGATAAGTGAAAATGCCAAGTTGGGCGTGGGGGGCGCATGCGGGCGGCCCCGCTGGGGGCTTCACTGGAGCTCCCTATGGGACCACGAAGCGCTGTACTGGGTAAGCGAAAATGCCAAATTGGGCGTGGGGGGCGCATGCGGGCTGTCCCACTGGGTGCTTCGGTGGGACTCCCTAGGGGGCCCCGAAACGCTGTACTCGGCGGGTTAGAATGCCAAATTAGGTGTGGGGGAGCGCATGCGGGCGGCTCCACTGGGTGCTTCGGTGGAGCTCCATATGGGGCCCCGGAACGCTGTGCTGGGTGGGTGAGAATGCCAAATTAGGTGTGGGGGGCGCATGCGGGCGGCCCCACTGGAAGCTGCGGCGGAGCTCCCAATGGGGTCACGAAGCGCTGTGCTAGGCGGGCGAAGCGCATGGAATAAGGAGGAGGGAGGGGGGGAGGAGGAGGAGGGGAGGAGGAGGAGGAGGAGAGGCACGCGGGGCGACGTCTCTTCAAAACGATGACCCCACACCACAGGATGGTTTAGCAAAAAAGCGAATGTGCGAAGTCGCGAAGCTGCACCCCGCGATCACACCATTACCCAGTCCAGGGCATGGGGTCGCCGAAGGCGGCCCCACACCCTGTGCCAAGAGCAGAACACCCCTATCGGCCTGAAACCGCCAGTGGCCTTGCTGAGGGGCGCGAGCAGCGCCGCCAAAATCTGTCGCGGCACAACCCCAACCGACTCCATCACTTCAAGCAGCATGCCCAACGCAAGAAGGCCGTCGTCGCTCAACAGGTGGTAGCGCCTGCAGTCGGAACCGTCATAAGTGACAACCGAGCCCTTCTTGCACCGCTTGGACACGGCTCGAAGCTGGTCAGGAGTGGCCCTCGGGAAAAGCCTGAACCAGAGAAATGAGCTTGGCCTCGCCAGAAGCCTGCCCCCAGGACTTGCCGAACTTGCCACCCTCTTTGGCGGGCAGAGACAGGGGATCAGCCACCACCGAGCCATCCGCCGCCAACGTCGTCGTCGGCCTCCAAGGTGATGGGTCCACGGTGATAGCGCGGGCCCTCTTGGCCCCTTGGTGCAGACCCTCCGTAGGCCAAACCTGCCAATCCGCACTGGATATGCAACGATACTTGGCGCCCGCGGGCGCGATAGCGCCAGAGAGCGCCGACAGCTGCGCCTCGCCAGGAGCAACCACCTCAGACAACCACTGGACTGGGGCATGCTGTTGCGCGAAGCGCTTGGCATCCAAAAAAGAAGACGCAACTTCTGAAGCGTGACCAGCAATCGAAGCAGGCCAGCAGAGGAGAGACGCATGGATGGCCTTCGCCTGCTCAGACACACCTCGGCTGTCACGCCGCAGGGAGACCAAGCTCCGAAACTGGGCCCCCAGCCACTTGGTGGCACGGTGGACGCGCACCTTGGCTTGCCACCCCTCCCCACTACCGATATCCACATCAGCTGAGGCCCCGGACTCCTGGTCCCAGTCATGACTAGGTCGGCGCCGGGGAGCGGTCGCAGCTCTATCTCGGCGACGTTGACCCAAACTCCGTAGCCTCAGGCAAGGGGCTGAGCAGCCCTGACGCCTCCCCCTCTCTCAACCGCGCGCAAACCTTCCTGGGCCATATCCAAAACCTGATCCCAATCCTGCTGCTTGGGCTTGGGACCGAAGACTGGGTCGGAGGGGAACGGCGGAGGCTTCCGAAAACTAAGCGCCTCGAGGGCAGCTGGGGCAGAATGTAAAGTGCGGTCGACAGGGCGGTGCGGGCTCAACTCAGCGGTCATAACCACGCTACAAAAGGCCGCAGCCTTGCCGAGACCCCCGCTACACACAGAATGGTCAATCTTGGACGGACTGCAATCCCCGAAGAAAGTGCAGCTTTCTGGATCAAGGAACTGGCCCTGAAGCTCAGAGACGAACTTACTTCGATGAGGCGAGGTCCGACGGACGAAGGTTGAAGTCCCCCCAAGAACAAAAGGAACCCGACAAAGAGGAGCACCTAGCGCCAAGGGAGGCCAGCACTTCCATGTTTCGCTCCGAAGGTCCTTCGCTGTGGTGGAGATACACGCTCCCGACTCGAAAAATGACCCCCCCTGAAACTTGAACACCAGCCACCGTCGCATGGCCCTGACTCACCACGAAATCAGTCTCCCGCGCAGCGCACCAGATATACTTCCATCGATTACGAGTGCACCGCTGCGAGGCTGAGTTGATCTTCTCAGCGTTCAGCAAGCGATGCTTCTGCACCAACACGATGTTGGCAGGCGTGTCAAGCAAAAGCTTCTTCAGAGTGCCCCAAGCATTCACACTCATGCTGCGAATGACGAGCTGCACCGAGCTCAACCCATCGGGCCCCTGGGCCTGGCCAGGGGAAGGACGGGAGGGGTTCGGAAGCGGAGGGGGGGAGATCCTGGGACCAGCCACCAACTCCACAGGGTTGCCTGTGCCTGGATACGCCAGGACAGGGTAATACTTAGAACGAACACCAACATCGGCCAGATTACACGGGGAGTCAGCTGGCAGGAAATGGGTCAGCCAGCCACCATACAAAACTCGCTCAGCCCTCCACAAGGTGTGACGCGCAGCCGACAGCAAGCCTCGGAACCGACATGCTGGGCGCGCGACCCCGCACGCCAGGAGGAGGGGGCGACGGAAGAAAGGCCGACAGGCCACATACAAACAGTTAGATTTCACAGCAAACACGGCCGCGAAAGTTTCAAGAAGAGGCCTGGCAAACCGGCGTGACGAGGCAATCAGGCGAGCAAGTCCAGGGTCGTGAAGTAGGTCACAGTGTGGCTGATGAGCTTGCCCCCGTTCAAGCTGACGAGACGCCTGAAGGGGGGAGGGGGGAGCACCTGGTTCTGCTGCCGTACGCGTTGGGCCCGTACGCGTACATCTTCTTCTGGTGCCGATGGTGCCGATGGTGTAGAGGAACTGGCAGCAGCAGGCTCCGCAGGGGGCTTAGGCTCGGCGGCGCCGTCGGCCTCAGCTCCAGCTCCGCCTTCAGCGCCGTTGTCGCCTCCACCAGTCCGCGGTGTTTCTGCCGTTCGCCTCCGCTTGCCAGCAAGGCGTGCCAGCTGCAGCTTCTGCTCCTCACGGAACTTGGCGACCTGCTCGGCGGCGGTTCCGAACAACTGCTGCACCTGCTGCGTGATCGACTGCTGCAAGATCTTGAGACGAGCCTCCGCCTCTGCCTTGTCCTCTGTCGACAGGTCGTACTCGGCCGCAGGCGCCAGCAGCGATGGCTCAAGCCATTTTGAAATGGGGTCGATAAAGAGATCGATAAAGATATCGATGATGGGATAATCAGGGCTTTGGAGCAAGGGCGAAGGAGCCAACGTGTGAAGGCGACGCTGGGCCGACCGAGCGCGCAGAAGGCCCAGCAGGAAACCCGAGGAAGCAGGACTCCGCGAGCTGCTTCTGAGTTCGGCATACTTCGACCCCGGATGCACCAGCGCCGATGCGGAATTGAACCTGCCTGGAGCTGCATCCTAACGTTGGGCGGTGGTGTGTGTGTGGGGGGGGGGGGGGGCGCGCAGATCCGAGGAATCCGCGGCGGAACCTTCAGAAGGTGCGATGCTTATGCCATCATTCCTTCTCCGACCCCGTCCCTCGCGCCCTGCTGCGCTGCCCCGGCCAGCGGCCGCACGCGCACCGCGACCGAGATGTTCCGGGCCCCAGACCCCCTGGCGCCGTGATCCCTCGGCAGAGCTCCAGGGCGCCCGGGAGGGGGGCGCCCAGAAAGGGAGGGGCTTCTCAAATCGTGGCCCGAGGCAAGTGCGCGGTCCTTGGGGGTGATAGGCCTGTTTTCCACCACCACCACCCACCCACCACCATGAGTTGGAGGAGGAGAAGGTCCTCCTCCTCCTCCTCCTCCTCCTCCTCCTCCTCTCCTCCTCCTCCCCTTCCTCCCCTTCCTCCCCCTCCTCCTCCTCCTCTTCTCCTCTCCTCCTCCTCCTCCTCTTCCTCCTCCTCTTCCTCGTCCTCCTCCTCCTCGTCCTCCACCTCCTTCCCCCCTCCAACTGATGGTGGTGGAAGACAGGCCCATCAGGGGGGGGACTAAGAAAGGGGCTGACATAAGAAGGGGGGCCATGAACTCCGGGGAGATTAATGCCGCCGCGCCGTGTGTTCTCGACGCGCCCAATGTGGACGACGCCGACACCACGGCAAAGCCACAGCAAAAACCCACGGCAAGCCGTGCGCCCGAGGCAGCGCTTGCCCTGGTGGCCATAGCGCCCTCCCCAAGATGATGGGCCTGTTTTCCACCACCACCACCGCCATACATTGAAGGGGGAGGAAGTCCTCCTCCTCCTCCTCCTCCTCCTCGTCCTCCTCCTCCTTCCCCCTCCAACCCATGGTGGTGGTGGTGGAAAACAGGCCCATCACAAAAGACACGGCGCGGCGACATGTCACGGCCCTGGCCATGATAGCCCTCCAACTGTAGTGATCACATTCCTCTTGGCCGCCCCCGGCAACACGTCGACACCAAGAGGTCTGGTCCTCTTCCCTAAGGCTGGCTGTCCTTCCCGATCCGCTTTCGCGACGGCCCCGGGGCCAAGCGAGGGCCCCGAAACTGAAAATGACAACAGAAAAACTCTCGCCGAGGCTGCAGCCTGAATCCGACAACGTTGGTGCATCGTTCTTGCAGCTGCCGGCCTTCCGCCAGCGCGCCCGCCGCCGTGTTACTACCGCCAGCTGCCGCCGAGGGCGACTCACGACGAAGGCGAGGCCCTTCCTTGAGAAAAACAAAAGGTACCGATACCGCTACTCCCCAGACCTCTCCTGGAGCGTTCTGACCAGAATTTCGAGGCAAATCCAGCGGTGGCGACGATGGCCTCCCAGGAGGCCCACAAAGGGGAAAATGAGGGAGGGGCAGGGGGTGCGGGCACCCTTTGCCTCATCTGACTCTGGAGACGTCGCAGGCTATCACGGCGCCAAGAGGTCTGGAGGGCTGGGCGCCCGCGGCGGAGTCCAGGCTGGCCCTGCGCGCCGCCGCCTCCTGGCGGCGCGCACCCGGGAGGGGGGGGGGGGGGGCGCGAGGGGATGCGGCATTCCGAGAGGCCGAAAGGCAAAGCCCCCTCCTCCTCCTCCTCCTCCTCCTCCTCCTCCTCCTCCTCCTCCTCCTCCTCCTTTTTCTCCCTCTCCTCCTTTTTCTCCCTCTCCTCCTCTTCTCCCTCCTCTCGGGCGCTGTTTACTGCGAGGGCGAAGACACGTGCACCTTCCGTGCCGTTCGTGGGCCCCAGAGGGCCCCTTCGAACCCCCCAAAAGGTGGGCGAAAAGCGCTCCTATCCTTAGCCGCCCCCACGGCGAAGCCACGGAACTCCCCCAGGCTGCGACTGCGACAGTGTCCTGCCCTGCCTGGCCCTGGCACACGTCGAGAAGGCACACCCGGGACCCGGGCCTCGGCGGCCAAGGCACGCGCGAAAGCAGACGCCCGCCTGCATGCTCGCCTGCCTGCAGCCCAGCCTGCGACGAAGAATCCTCCGACGCCCGCCCGGCTTCTGAGAAGCCTTCTTGCAGAAGCCCTCGCGGCCCTCCTCTGAGTCTGCGGAAGGCCCCTGCCTCCTCAAACAACCCCCAAGGCTGCTTCGAAACCCGCCTCCCTCCCGCCACCCCCTGGCGCGCGCAGCCGACCTCGTGGCTTCCGGACGTCGTAACTCGACCCTCGGGCGGCCCTTCGGGGCAATCTGGACAGCCCAGGAACGCTCTCAGGAAGAGGAGGAGGAGGAGGAGGAGGAGGAGGAGGAGGGAGGAGGAGGAGGAGGAGGAGGAGGAGGAGGAGGAAGGAGAAGGAGGAGGATGGAGGAGGAGGAGGAGGAGGAGAGGAGGAGGAGGAGGAGGAGGAGGGGAGCGGAGGAGGAGGAGGACAACGAGGAGGGGGGGGGGAGGAGGAGGAGGAGAGGAGAGGAGGAGGGAGGAGGAGGAGGAGGAGGGGAGGAGGAGGAGGGGGAGAGGGGGAGAGGAGGAGGAGAGGGGGAGAGGAGGAGGAGGAGGGGGGGAGGAGGGAGGAGAAGGGAGGGGAGGAGGAGGAGGAGGAGGAGGAGGAGAGGGAAGGGAGGAAGGAGAAGGAGGGAGGGAGGAGGAGGAGGAGGATGGATGGATGGATGGACCCGGCATTCCGCTGTGAGTCTGAAGACACTCACCCCTCGAGCTCACGAAACGAGAGTTCGGGGACACCTCTGAACAGTCGTGCGATCTCCTCGGACCGAACGAGGTCAGGCGTGTGGGCGCGCCGTGCAGCTGTGATCACCGTGGATCCGAGCCGAGCAGGACAGGAAACAATCAAACGCCCGCGGGCGGGGGGTGATACCCCTCTGGCCCCTGGGGGCCGAGCTCGACGGCGCGGAGAGCACCGAGCAGGCTCCCTGGACACCCCAGAGGCCCCGAGAAGGAACAGAAACAAAAAAAACAGGCCGAAGAAAAAGGGCCGACGGCGCGCCCTAGAGACCAGGGGCGGCGAGAGCGACTAAAGGGGCCTGGTGCTACAGCGAAGCTGCTGGACTCATGTCGTCACGTAGTGTTCAGATCGCCCATCTCTTTCCGTAGGATCCGCCTCACGTGTCAGCCCTTCTGGCCGTAGTGGATCTGGCGGTCCTTGTCTGGCGGTTTCTGGGCCATCGATTCCAGGTGGCCCGTCCCCATCTTCTGGCGGCCGCCCAGAGCGTCGAGACAAGTCTCCCGAGGGCCGTCTGGGTTGACGCTCTTCGGTGTGATCTGGTCCGTGTAAGCGGACTGCTTCCTGGTGTACTGGTCGTTGTAGCGCGTGCGCAGCCTGAGGTGGAAAAGAGCTCCGAGCCCGTCTCCGTGCAAACGAACTGCTGGTAGAAGGTGCGCGGGAGCCCGCGCCCCTGCGGGGCCTTCTGCACCACGAAGGCCGACGGGTACTTGAACTCGGCGTGAGCGAGGTACAAATGTGGTGAGTTGGGGCTTCGCCTCGGGGAACTGCGCCGCCTCTGCGTACATCTTGCCCGCATCCCGAGCTGCGACGATCGAGGTGGCCGCGGGCGTGGTCACGATGCTGATCCATACCGAGTCCGCTAGGTCCCTGAGCGACTGGGCGTGCGGGCGCATCACCTTGGGGAGGATCGTGACCGCCTGCTGCAGGTAGCGCGACTTCAGGGCGCCCTCCAGGCGAAGCGTGATCGTGTCGTACTCCCAGGTGTGCAACGCGTGGGCCTCGAAGTTGTCGTCCGCGAAGACAGAGCGGTGGTCTCGATCGTACCGTATGTTGAGGCGGCGACCTGCTCCCATGGGGGCCTTGCACTGGCGTGTGTGGGACCCCAGGGCGGACGGGCCGTAGAAGAAGTCGATCCTGCGTGATCGTCCGTGCGTCCCTAAGTAAGTGTACCCGCTGGCAAAGAAGGCGTCGTGGTCCGAGAGGAGCCGTTGCCAAAGACGTCCAGGGAGGCCCTCCAGCTCCAGGAAGGTGCCCACGGCGCTGTCGACCTCGCTCCACAAGACGGGCACGAGCGGGGGCGAGGAGCCGAGATACGTCTCGTCCACGGAGTCGCCGAGCTGAGGTCCGCCCCGCAGGAAGGCGTGCGACGACTGCCCACAGACTCCATCATGGTGCGTGCCCTCGAGGTCATAGCCTGGGCCACCTGGCGGCATGAGTCGGACTCGGATGGAGCGGAAAGGTGCCGAACCAAGAGGAGCACGTCCGAGGAGCGGCACTGTCGCGCCGCGGCGGCCCGAGAGCGCCGCGGGCGGAGGGTAGGTCAGACGTAGGTGTGCCTGCAGAAACCGCCGATGTAGGAAGATGCGCCCCCCGAAGCTCTTGTTGGTCCAGCCGAAGGAGAGCTCCCAGTGGTAGTCGCGCGGCGAGAGGCTGTGGCGGCCGTCCAGTGTCGGGCGGCGGTTCATCCCAGGGGAGAGGATCTCGCCCATATAGTGCGCGTGGGTGATCTCCTGCGCGCGGGTGCTGCCCGTCAGGTAGATAGGGATGTACTCGTAGAGCCTGGTGTGCTGAGCAGGTTGCGGCTCTCGCTCCTGAGTGCGTCCAAGGGCGCGGCACGCGCCTGTCGACGTGCAGGCGGCCGCCCGCGGCGAGAAGCCGACGGCCGCGAGCAAGAGGAGAGCCGCCATCATGGGCCTCTTGGGCCCCGAGGGCGAGTGGGCATCGCGCGCTGCTCCCCTGGCGGGCGATGAAAAGGGTGGGAGGGCCGCGTGTTCCGCGCCCTTCAGCCGTGGCGGCGGCTGGAGGAGGAGGAGGAGGAGGAGGAGGAGGAGGAGGAGGAGGAGGAGGAGCAGGAGGAGGAGGAGGAGCAGGAGAGGGAGGAGCGATCCTCCTCTCCTCCTCTCCTCCTCCCCCCCGATCGAACGATCTCCACCCGAGAATGCGAGGCGGAATCCCCAAGGAGCACCTGCCCAAATTGGACCTCGCGGCCGGGGTATGCACTCGTCATGCGTCGAGGGCGCCATGGGGGATCCCCAGAGAGCACCAGCGGTCTTTTGGCCTGGCCGCTGCGGTGTGTGGAGTGTACGAGGCGCTCGGGAGTTCTTTCCTGCAAATATACAATTTCAACCTGTCGGGGGGGGGAACCATAACGTCAAGCGTCAGAAACTCAACAGAAAACACTTGAAAATCACCCCCCTCGGGTAGAGGTCTTCCAGATGGGGTCCGAGCAAATTGGGTCTGATGATCGCGCCGCATCGCCGATGCATTGGCAATGTATCGGCCATGCCCCAGCGACGTCGGCGATACGTCGGCGACGCCGACGTGCAGAAAATCCGGTTCCATAACCCGCCGAATCGCCGATGCGTCGGCGATGCGGCGCAATCCCCCGACCCCATCTACTCGGACCCCATTTCAGGGGACGGAGAAATACCGAGATCGTCACATCCCAGGCCTCTCCCGTGATGCGTCTGACCAGAATTTCGAAACGAACCCAACCGTGGCGACGAGGGTCTCCCAAGAGCCGCAAAACGGCGAAAGCGAGGCAGAGGCAGAGGTATTGGTATGGGTATCATCTACCGGGCCAAGCAATGCCTTCTTTTCAACCTGGGGTCCCGGGCAATCCCGACCCTGTCCCCGGGGCTGGATCTTCAGCCCAAAACCGTGATTTGGCGCTCCTGGAACGCGGGGAGGGCCCCTGGGCCCGAAAATGACCGAAAACTGCCAGCCGCAAACACGACGGGAGCGTGTCTACTTAAACGAATGTTGGCTTGGAGTTGAGTTATGTAGTTTAGTAGACAAATAACAACGATGAAAGCGCCATAGGCGCTTATACGACAACCGAACTGCCTATAAGAGCACCGAACTGTTTGCAAAAGCGCAGAACTGCTTATGAGAACGCAAGCCTGGAGATAGCATTGTATGAACCGCGGCAATTCCTCTACATATATGACCATGACGTTAGCTGTACTGAAAAAAAAAACATGCTGGATACCATGATCAATTGGCAACGCCGCCACTTGCGGCGCTGCCGCCGCCGTCGAATGCAGCGGCGACGGCGGCACCGCCGCCGCCGACACAAGCCGCAGGAGTCGGGGGCGCAGGCAGCGGCGCCGCCGCCGCCGCCGACGACGACGACGACGCCGCGGACGTCGTCGCAGCCATGATGGCGAAGGCGGCTGGAGAGGCATGGGCGAAGGCGACGGCCGCGGGGAAGGCGGCTGAGACGCGCCGCCCCGCGGCCGCCGCCGCAGACGCCCCCCCCCCGCCGCGAAGGCCAAGGCGGCGAAAGCGAAGGCGAAGGCGTCGATGAGGCGCCTTGAGGGCGCGCTCGGGCGCAGCCGCTAACGCTACGCCGCGGGTGGCCGCGGCGGCCTTACGGGCTACGGGCCGCGCCCATAGGCGCGCGTTTGGCTATGTCACGGGAAGTGGCAGATAGTGGGCCACGGTAAAACGGCATGGTTGATTTGAGGGTAGGTCTTCCAGAGGGATGGCGGTTGGCGGAACTGCGCCACGGCCGATGCTGCGGACGGCCGCGGGCGCTAATCGGCATTCCGCTCGGATGCATAAGCCTAATCGGAGCATAAGCCTCGACTCCCGGCGTCGACCCGCCCTGCCCAATGCAGCCCCCGCTGCAGCGGAAGCTTCAGCGCCGTTCTCGAGGAGGCCGCAGCCTCACCCATCGCAGCTGCTGCGAGGGGTCGAGCTGCAGCAGCGAGGGGGCGCCGCCCGCGACGGAGCGGGCGCGCGCAGGGCGCAGAGCGGGTCGCTGCTCGCCACGGGCCGCCGCCCTGCCTGGACGGGGGCCGCGGAGGCGCGCGCGCGGCGGGCGACGTGGCGCAGATGCGGGGCATGGGCTGGGTCGCCCGCCACTCGCGCCCTCCTCTGTGCATGCTGTAAGCTGCCCGTTGCTCGAGCTGCGGCCCGGGGCAGGTGCCGCGCCGCCGCGGGCGCCAACGCGGGGGGGCCCTGGGTCGCGCGCCAGGCGCGCATTCGGGCTGGGATGGGCGCGAACGAACTGCTGCGCGGGGCCAGCTGCAACGGGCGCTTCCCCTTGTGTACGCATGTTGGCTGTCAAGTACTTTGGCGCGCGTCATTTGGTCAGCAAGTGTTCTAGCGAGGGGGGCTGGGCGATCCCCCTGGACGACGCGCGGGGGACGGCGGCGACCCCGCTTGCCCGGCAGCTGATCACGAGGTACTGCAAGGCGCAGGTAATGGCAATGGTGCAGCTGGAGGCGACCAACCCTACCCAACAGAAGGTCCCGAAGTTTTTTTTTCAGTCTCGGTCTGGTAGGGCGCTCTTGAGCTGCAGATCCGCGACGTCTCCGTCGTCGCCATCGCCCGCATCATCGCAATCATTGCCGCTGACATCCTCATCGTCGTCTCCCCCGTCGCTGCAGCCTCGCAACCGCCCGCCTCGCCATCGTCGCCGCGCTCGGGGCTGCAGCCCCCGGGCTTGGGCATCGCCGCCTCTGCCCCGCGCGGCGAGGCGCTCGAGCGCGCGGCCCAGGCGGGCCGCAAGCAGACCATCGAGCAGGGCGCCATCAAGCTCGGCCCCGAACCGACCGTCGTCACGCCGGGCCCCGGGCTCATCAAGCTGGCCGACCGCCGACGCCGACCGCCAGGCGCTGTCTATTGCGCGCGCGATGGGCCGCGCGAGTACCACCAACAAAAAAAAACACGCCACCCACGTCGCGCGAGGCTGCAGCCCCACTGCGGCCACGACGGCGGCGATGTGGGCGCGCACTCGGAGCTGCACCTCCACCGCGACGGCGATGACGACGACGGATGTCGGGCCGGACGCTGGGCGCGGGGGCGGCGCTGCAGCTGCGACTGGGTCGTCTTAACTGGCGCTGCGCAGTTCCTCCCTCGACGCGCCCCCGCCCGCCGCGTTTCGGCGCGGCCCGCGCATCGGCGCCTGCGCCTTGCGCCCGCGGCGCTCTGCGGTGAGCTGAGCGGCGCAAGGCAAGAGGGAAACAAAACAGATGCGCGCGCCGCAGCCGGGTGCCAGCCCGCGCTGGCGCGCCTGGCGGGGGGCGGGGGTCGCCGCGTCGTTAATCGCGCGCCCGCCGTAACCCCCGATGTAGACCGTTCGCTGCTTCATGTTGGAGCGCCTCGTCAGCCACGGCATGACTCGCTTCGGGCGGGCAATGTGAGCCCGCGGCGTGATAGGGTGCTTCGCGTCGCCGATGCCCAGATGGATTGGAGGTGCGTGGGTCTTCAAGCTCGCGGGGGTCGAGGGCGACTGCGACTGCCACTATGGCGGGCCGATCCCGGGGGATCGGCCCGACATCCAGAGGCAGCTGCAGCGGCCCGCGCATGGGCGAGACGCCGCTGCAGCGGCGCGTCGGCCGAATCCGCGTTGCCCGCGCGCGCCCATTCCCCGATTGGGGCGGCGCCCATTGCCTCTAGACGACTCGAGGGGGGTCCCCGCGCAGCATGATGAACGGCCTGTTCCTCCTGCCGCAAGGAAAGCGACACGGGCGCCGGAGCGAACGACGGTCGCGGCGCGATGAGAACGACGACAGCGTCGCGCGATGATGCAGGCTTCCGACGGCAACGGCCATGACGACGCCGCCGATGTCAACGTCGACGGCGACGGCGCTATGCGGCAGCGGAGGGAGCGAGCGCGGGCGCGGACCAAGCGGGGTCGTCGCGGGAACCGCGCGCGGCGCCACCACGGCGCGACGGGGGAGCGGCGAGGGAGGCCGACGCGCGGCAAGCGCTGGGTCCAGGCGGCCGACGCGCAGCAGCAACTGCAGCTGCAAGTCAACAGGCTGCGGTACAGCGCGCCCTTCGCATCGCAGTCCGCGCCGGACCCCGGCCTGGCCCTGTCAGCCGAGGAGGAGCTCCAAATCGCAGCCGAGCTTGCGATCCGCCGTTCGAGGGACAGCGTGGTCTCCGAGCGGACCGAGCACGGTCCGTACCATGCGGACATGGGGGCATATGGACCTCCACGGAGATCCGGTTTCCGTCGAGGTCCTGAGCCTTCATTCGGTGCTCGCAGACATGGTCAGGAGTTGTCCTGGCTTCTGCAGGCGGTTCCAGAGAGCTTACCAGCGACGGTCACCGGAGCATCGCCGTGCACGGTGAAGAGATCTTTCCAGGAAGCGCACTGGCCAGCGCGAGGAGCCGCAAATCTCCGGGCATCTACTGGTCGGTGCTCGAGCTGGGGCCGCGCAACCTCACTGGCGAGGGCTCGCCGTCGGGCCTGCGGCCGTCGCGGCGCCGGGGGGGCCGCAGCCCCGTTTGCCCCGCTGGCTGAAGCCAGCCGCCCCGCTGGCTGAAGCCAACCGCTGGCTGGGGCCAACTGGCTTGCCCATCAACGCAGGACGCCTGGCCAGAAGTCGCATGAGGTCGACGCGCGCCAGGAACCGCGTCGGCGGGGCGTCGGCCGTGTTCAGGTCCCTGGTGGACCTCTTCGTTGGGCCCACCTCGGGGGCGGCTGGCTTGGCGGCGGGCGGGGGCCGCGCCGGCCACGTGCGCTCTAAGATCGGCACCATCGGGCTTGCAACTGCAAGGGGGCCTCGGGGCCGACGTCCTGCTTGCCGCGCGTCCACGCGCGCGCGCTGCGGGCGGGCGCGACGCGGCGGCTCGCGGCGCCAGCGGCGCGTCGGCGTCGCACGCGCGCCCCGACAGCAGCAAGCTGCAGCTGCGCACTCGCGCCGAGGCAGGGGCTGCAGACGCGCCTGGGTTGGAGCCACGACCCAGGCGCGCCCCTGGCGGACGGGCGGGCGGGCCCACCCCGCCGCCGCGCGCACCTTCGATTGGATGAACGTGGTGTTCGTCAACGGCATCTTCGGCACGGCCGTCGGCCAGCTCATGCAAGCGCGCGGCTTCAGCTGCGCGGCCATCCACGCGGCCGCGGCGAGAAACGAGTGGCCGAAGCTGGTCGGCGCGGGGCCTGCCGATGTCTTCAGCCCCACAAGAACTGTCTCGCACAGGGGGTACGTCGCCGTCAGGGCGACCGCCAGCCAGGACCTAGGCACGACGCCCTTCTTGCTCTACTTCCCGTGGGCGCCCGCTGCCGCGATCGACGACGCGTCGTTGACTCGGCGCGCGACGCGCATCGCGACGCTGCGCTGCATCGCGCCGGCGGGGCGCGGCTCCGTCGGGGCGGCGTGGGCATGGCGGCGCTGCAGCGCGACGTCGATGCAGCCTTGGCGATTGTCAAGCTCTTGCACGGCGAAGACCAGATGCGGCAGAGATTCCACTGGAGCCGTTGCTTCGCAAGGGCGGCTGTCCGCGCGAGCTCGCTGCAGCGGGCGCGCGGGGGTGGAAGGGCGGGGCGGGGGCGGGAGGGGAAAACCAGGATCGAAGATTCTTCGGATTCGCAGCAGCATCAACAATATGAATATGCTGGCGATGATGAAGATGACGGTGATGATGATGATGATGATGATGGTGATGATGATGATGATGATGATGATGATGATGATGGTGATGACGATGATGATGATGATGCTGATGCTGATGCTGATGCTGATGCTGATGATGATGATGATGATGATGATGATGATGATGATGATGATGGCGGCGCTGATGACGATGGCGTTCGCCCTCGCCCCTCGCGCGGAGACGCGGGCCGATGAGGCGGCGGCTGCAGCCGCCCAGTTCAGCAAAACGCCGCGGCTGCAGCCGCTCGGCTCCCCATGCGGGCGCTGTCGGACCTGCTGCATCTGCCTGGGCGCGTCGACAGGTCCTGGCCACTGCCGACGTGCTGGTCTCCGGAGCGGAAGCGCAAGGAAATCAAGAAGTACTGCAACCGCCTGTTCCACGCGACCTTCCCCAAGCTGGGGCAAGTCCGTTCTCAAGGGCGTCACCTGCGAATATCTGTTCGCGATGCCCGGCGACGATTTACCATGGAGATGTCGAGGCGCCCAGCAGGAGGCTGTGGGTGAGTTTACACTGTGGTTTCGGCATAGCACACGCACCAGAAGGCAACGTGGCCTTCCAGCTGAGCAGCCACGCGCGCGTGAATGAGCACACGCGCGTCTCCATTGGAGATGTGGAGTGGTGATCTATGCATGCGGCACCTCGTGGTCCATGTGCAGGGTCCATCAGCTTGTACAAGTGCCCACTTCAGTCGCAGCATCACGAAATATCCGCCACTGTGCCTGCACGGAGCGGGCGTGTTAGAATGCTGATACAAGCATGTGTTCTAGGACCGACCGCCCCCCCCGTTTCGCACGCGGGGTTCGCAGACCCCCTCCCCTGACGTTGCTCCCCGGCGCCTTTTTCGGCCTCCTGACGGCCAAGGTGGCCGCCAAGACGGCTTCCAAGACAGCCAAAACGACAACAACACGCGACAACAAAACGGTTCACGATGGCCCAAGACAGCTCAAGAGCCTCAAGACAGCCTCAAGACGGCTCAAGATAACCCGAGAGGGCCTCAAGACGGCCCCAAAGACGGTCCGAGAGAGATCCAAGAGGCCTTTCTGGAGAGCCCAAGGGGGCCAAAACAATTGATGTTCCTCAGGTAGGTGTGTGTGCGTGTGGTGTATTTGGTGTGTTGTGTGTGTGTGTTGTGTGTGTGTTGTGTTGCGTGTTGTGTGATGTGTGTTGTGCGTTGTGTGTTGTGCGTTGTGTATTTGTGTGTGTGTGTGTGTGCGTGTGTGCGTGCGTGCGTCCGTGTGTGATTGTTGTGTTTTCACCATCGCGACGCGGCCCAGTGATCTCCCCTGGACAGGTGCCTGTACCAAGAAGCAATCGCCAAGATGCGGTCGGAAACCCTAACATGCCAGAACCTCGGGTTCCCCCAACAGTATACAGAAGATCAGTGGTGTTGGCCTCCTCGGGCTCTCCTGGAAGGCCTCTTGGAGACCTCTTGGGCAGTCTTGGGGGCCTCTTGATCTGCCTTGAGGCCTTCGCGTGAGCCTCATGGCCTCCATGACGGCCTTCAAAGCAGCCGAGATGACGCCAAGCTGGCCTAAGACGGCTCAAGAGGCTCACAAGACAGCCTCAGGACATATCAATGGCCCCCCAAACTCGGCCCAAGAGGTCTCCAGGAGGCCTTCCAAGAGAGCTCGAGGAGGCCACAATCATTGATTTCCGTTAGTGTTTGACAGACTGTGAGCTTCCCACCTGTTCGGATTTCCGATCGCCCACGACGGCCCAAAAAGCTTCCAAGAAGCCTCCAAGATAGTTTCAAGACACCCCAAGAGGCCCACAGGAAGGCCCGAACTCGGCCCAAGGAGACCCAAAGATCGCGAAAGGGGCTCCCCAAAGGGCCCCAAGACGGCTGTAAACCGCTCCAAGA